TGTCCAAGTTCACCAGACCGTCTTTCCTCCACTGGGACGCCAGCTTCCTCGACATGCTTTTCGGCACCGCTCTGGGAAGCGATCTCAACGACCAAGCGGTCAGCGTCGACTACCAGCTGGCGGGTGTCATCGCGCGCCCCCTGTATAAGTGCACGCAGATCGTCGACGCCAGCACGGGAGCAGCGTGCATGAACGTCGCGTCGATGTCAAGGCTTTTGCGGGACACCGCGGGTCGGGGCCAATACACGTGCAAGGAGTGTGCTGAAAGGAAACAGGGCGCCGATGAGACGCCAGGCTTCCCCAGTGTTGCCCTTCGCGCCCTGTACTTGCACCCCGCGGTGTTCGGGCCGGATGGCGAGCCCACGCCGCTTCGCGCGATGACGCCCCATCGCGTGTTCGCGCACGCGCCTCCGGAGAATCGGGGGTGGGGCGTCGAGCGAGTCCAGCGCCACGTGGTGACCCAGGCGAACCCCACGATATCCACGGCCACGCCGACATGGCACACTTACAACGCGGAGGAGAGCGAGGCCATGTGGATCGCATCCAGCGCGTACAAGGCCACGCCGCCGAGCAAGACGTGAATGGAAGGGGGGCACTGGCTGCGCCAGGCTTTGCCAGCGCTTGCAGGCTCCTGCATCATGAAGGATATAATTTTTGATTTCGCGTAGGCTGCGCCAGGCTTTGCCAGCGCTTGCCAGGCTGTGCGCAGGCTGCGCGTAGGCTTCGCCAGCGACCCCTGGAGTTGGTCTGTCTACATAAAAAAGGAATACGCCGACAGGACGCCGGCGCGGGACTCCGGGAGCGGCCCCGGTTCCGTTTTGAGGTTGGCGCCGGGGTTAGGCGGAGGTTTCCTGGACCTCGGAGGCCCTGCTCGCCGCCGCGGCTGGAAGCGAATCGAAAAACTGGTGCGTCTGGGCCCGTGGACTTGGGCCGTCTACATAAAAAAAGGTACGCCGAGTGGACGCTGGCGCGGGCTCCTGGGAGGGGTCCCGGTCCCGTTGTAAGGTTGGCGCCGAGGTTACGTCGAGGTTTCCTGGCCCTCGGAGGCCCTGCTCGCCGCCGCGGCGGTAAGCGAATCGAAAAACTGGCGCGTCTCGGCCCCTGGAGGTGGGCCGTCTACATAAAAAGGGATGCGCCGACAGGACGCCGGCGCGGGCCCCTGGGAGAGGTCTCGGTCCCGTTTTGAGGTTGGCGCCGAGGTTACGTCGAGGTTTCCTGGTCCTCGGAGGACCTGCTCGCCGCCGCGGCTGGAGCGAATCGAAAAACTGATGCGTCTGAATTGGTGCGTCTGGACCCCTGGAGTCGATCTGTGTACATACAAAGGGATACGCCGACAGGACGCCGGCGCGGGCCCCTGGGAGAGGCCTCGGGTCCGTTTTGAGGTTGGCGCCGAGGTTCGGTCGAGGTTCCCTGGCCCTCGGAGGCCCTGCTCGCCGCCGCGGCTGGAAGCGAATCGAAAAACTGGTGCGTCTGGACCCCTGGAGTTGGTCTGTCTACATAAAAAAGAATACGCCGACAGGACGCCGGCGCGGGACCCTGGGAGGGGCCCCAATCCCGTTTTGAGGTCGGCTCCGAAGTTAGGCGATGGTTTTCTGGCCCGATCGGAGGCCCTGCTCGCCGCCGCGGCTGGAAGCGAATCGAAAAACTGGTGCGTCTGTGCCTCTGGAGTTGGGCCGTCTACATAAAAAGAGATACGCCGACAGGACGCCGGCGCGGGCCCCTGGGAGGGGTCCCGGTCCCGTTTTGAGATTGGCGCCGAGGTTAGGTCGAGGTTTCCTGGCCCTCGGAGGCCCTGCTCGCCGCCGCGGCTGGAAGCGAATCGAAAAACTGATGCGTCTGGGCCCCTGGAGTTGGTCCGTCTACATAAAAAGGGATACGCCGACAGGACGCCGCCGCCGTCGCTGTCGCAGCAGTTCTCATCAATTGCATTTGCACCATGTGCAACCCGAGAAAGGGAGGGAGAGGAGCCTCAGCAGGCCTCCTAGAAAAAAATCTCCACTGGCATCGTCAGGAAAACAATCACCACTGTTGCCGATTGTTCGGCCCCTCCACCCCCCCAACCTCCTTATCACCCGCAGGGTAGTCGTATAGGTGTATATATATATATATATATATATATATATATATATATATATATATATATATATATATTCTGCACACTCGTCCATCCTAAATATGAAATCATATCATCCCAGCCAGGCCGGGTTCCCTCCCCCTGAGGTTCCCTTGTAAAAACAAAAAACTATGCGGTGACATTTTTTGTTCTAACATAACACTTTTTCGCGAATCCCTTGCAAAAAGGGAGACGAAGTGCACACGCGCGCGTCGTCGCGCGCGCATGCCGAAATCCTTCAAAAACCTTCGGTGCCGGAAGGATTTCGCAATCGAGGTCCCAAAAAACATACAAAAACACAGGGTTTCGCAACACTGATTTGCTAAAAGAGCTTCCGCGCGAGCTCTTGCGAAATCTTGAGAAAACCATTGGTTTTTCAAGATTTTC